CAAAATACCGATTTTTGTTTTACGTATTATTGCGGCTAAATGCGTCATGTTAAGCTGTGAAGTATGAAGAACAAATTTGTTCACAGTTGTCGATTTGGGCTCTTTTTCCTCCCCCCCCCCCCCCCCCCCCCACCTTACATACGCGTCAATTTTATGGTGTAACGAGGGGTTTTAGAAGGTTAATTATGAAGACCAAAATGTTTGTCAAGGCCTAGGTAGTTCGCATGCCAATTTTTGTAACATTCGGATAAAGTGAACAAAACTTCCATAGTAAAATTTTGCAGAGGGGGGGGAAGAAAAGGAAAAAGAGCCCCGATTTGTTCACCACGCCAAGTTTCATTGCATTATGATAACGTTAAATAAGTTTTTGAGAACTGAACTTGAAGAGGGCATCAAATTCAAGAAGAAAGTAACAGAGTATTTATACCTGGAATGGTTTTCTTAATTCCAAGTCACATTTCGATTTTTAAATTACAAAATATTTTATATTGTCTACTGATATTGTTGTCTTGAGCTCAGTTTTTTCTTCGTTTTTTTGATCATTTTTTGCATAGTTACCGGTGTTTAAAAAATGACAGTTATGCCAATTGAGATTCACTGAAGAGTGATATGCTGCAGTCATATAACACGCATTAGCGGTCAGATGAATCATTTGGATCTTCAACAGTTCCGAATTACAACAGTGTAGAATCTGAAAATGTGTTCAACTGTTCAACAGTGCCAAAAGTGGGGGTTGAGAAATTAGACGATAAGCAAATTAGACGGAGGCACTGAAAAGGAAATTAGAGGTTTTTGCAAAAGCAATTGTGAGAAAATAGACGAAAATAAGAGAGATTAAAATTGTTTGCCGACAAATTGCGTTAGAAAAACAACATTTTTTGTAGACAACAGTTAAATTTCGGTGGCCAAAAATTTTACCACGTTAATTATGCATAATTTATTCAATTCAAAACTCTGCTATAATTTTTGAATTTGACATTTTTTTATTCATTTAATTGATTGTTTGATATGTATTCTCATTTAATGTTCTTTTTGTATTTGTGAAACTTGACTGTTAAGAAAAAATGTTGTTGGCTTTTTGCTTTTCATAGCAGTGACGTCTAAAATGCCATGTAAAAACATTCCGTCTTATTTCGTTTTTGTAGCATCCGTGTTTATCGTCTAATTTCCTAGGCCCCGCCAAAAATTGATGATTTTTGAAAATCTGAATTTTGTTTCGTGATTTAACAGTAATTTAATGTAAATAATGTTTTGTTTTGGAGCAAACCGAGATAAAATTTTGACAATTTTGCCGAGTTAATTGTTTGTCCAGAAAAACTTTAACACCTCGCTTGGGGAATTTTGTTTTGATTTAACAGGCGGCATGAAATAATTCGGTCATTAGTGTCAATTTTCCGTCAATTTTGAACACAATTAGTAATTGTGTTTACTTATCAGTGATTTGTGCTGAGTAAAACCGTATTAATAATAATTTTTGTTACCGTTGACAAGATTTTAATTTTCGAAACTGTTGTACTGCCTCCGTTTTATTACTGTTTTTATTGCACTTTTTATTGGTTAAACAACTTTTTAATTATGTTTGTTGAGACGGAACTCAAGAGGAGAACGGTTCACTCAAAGCACGTCAAAATCTATTTATTTTTTTAAAAGTAATTTGGCATCTGTAATTGCACTTCAGCGAATTCACTCATACGGGGCTGTTAAATTAGTTCAATTTTGATTGTCATGATTGTGCAAAAATAATGAAATACATTAAAAATCCAACATCAAAAATTAAATCCCGTAAAACGTTTCCAACAAGAATTGCTTTGACCAATAACGACCAAGCGATTTCTCCGGTGATCGCAAAAACTGAAGATTTCCTTTGACATTTAGTATCGTTTAATTACCGCTTTGTCAATAATCTTATGAAAAAAAAGGTCAAAATAGTAAGCAAAATTATATTGTCTCTCTTATTTTGTTTCAAGATAACTCCCAAACAACCTGGCTTTCACGAAAAAGAAAACTAGAACAAAAATCAAGCAATCACTATCTATCTTTATATTTTTTGGTCTTTCGATAATCACTGGTCATTATTGGAATTTTTAGACAATTTTTTTAAACTTAAGC